TATTTCCATTAAACGTCATAGTTACGATTTCGAATAAAACTTATTTTGAAACTTTCTAAGATTTCAAACTGGGCAACTCTTTTGCAAGAAATTATATATGAAATATTGTATATGCTCGAAAACTTGATTTCATAGGTATGTAAAATGTATCGTTCACAAAAGTGCATGCAAACACTAATGTTATCACACTTTCCTTTAAAAAAGAAACGAGAGAAAGAGCAGTTTATTTCCAAATAAACTAAGCGAAATGCGTTATTATTCATCACTTTTTTGTGCAAAAGCTCCATTTATAGATAATATTACAAGATCATGGTACCTTTGTGTAATCCTTCGCATGACGTTCAATTTAATAAGCCAATAAAAGGTTATCTCCCGCATTTTTTATATAAAAAGTATAATGAGATCATAAATTATTTATTACCTTGTTCCTGTTTTAGAAACAACGTGCTGCACTTGTCATGCGGGGTTTATAAATAACCTGTTTGTTCAGAAGGGGAAAAACTGAAAGAAAAATTCTCTCTACACAGTCAGATCTATAAATTCTATTATTCAAGCAGTAGCTACAAAAAAATAAAAAAATAAATAAATAAAATTATTATGCTTCTTAGAATAGCCATGAATGTTTAGCAGATAAATTCTTCTTCATATAAATTTATTCGAAAGTTTAGCATTTAAACTAAGCGCACACACAGCTACCACTACTTGAAACGTATTTGATACATTCATTTAACCGATAGCATAAATTTCATATGGATCTGATTATGCTCATTATTTATTTTTAAACTACTTCCCCCCTTCCATCTTAGGCTAAGCAACCTCCACTCTGGATTTTATAACACATTTTACTTTTTAAATTTATATAAAAAAATGTTTTACGGAAATTTAAATGCAAAATAATCTCAATTCATCGACATAAAATAGTTACACATCAACTGCAATTTTCCTTTAATTTATTCAACTCACTAATCGATATATTGAATCTGAGGCAATGTATATTCACAGGGGGTAAAGGAGAATACTAGCCCCCCCCCCGCAAAGTTAGGCGTTGGGCCCCAAGTCGGATCTCACAAAGTATTGCAACTTGGGTCAGTTAGGCTTTAGGCTCCTCAGGAACCCTGGGTCCCACCGCGGTGCGGGGGCTTACGTTACGCCACTGCGTATCCACCAAACGGGTCACTAATGAAATAGCGCTTATCCAGAGGACAGAACCCGCAACCTATGGATTCGTAAGCATGTAACATACCACTAGACAAAAGTGATCACCTCTGTTTGGAGGCTGTTGCTGGCATATATAGATACCGCTGAAACTGTTTATATGATCATTTGCATTCATTGGTTAGTTGGCTGTCGTGTTTATAGAAATGGAAAGTTGTTTTCATATAAGATATGAATATGGATTTGCATTCATCCTTTTAAGCAATTGCATAATAATAGCGCTTATTTTTATAATAAAACTCAAAATATGTAATATAAATGAGGTATCATAGTTGAAAAAAGGTACATGGTGCAATTCGGTGCAGGTTACACGCTTCCTAAAAATTTTAAAATAAAATAAAAGATATATATATATATATATATATATATATATATATATATATAAGTGATGTTTATTATTTATTTGAATCTATGGAAATCTTACAGACATGCCCATGTTTTTCCCCAAGTATGGGAATACCTTTGCAGAAAATCTAAATAACGGTCTCAGAGAAAAATAAACTCCCCTATTATACTGCTGTTTGAAAAGTAAGGAAGAAGTAGATAAATTAACTCATCAACTGAATGAGCAGGCAGGCTGGACTGAAAACCAATCAGGAAATAAACTAGGGTCAGATAGGGTGAGATGTGCAACAATACATGTACTGGGCGAGTGTCAGAAAGTTAAGAAGCATGCTGAAGGCGTTCGCTTAGTATTTCTCTGAGAACTATTGTATGATGTACATCACTTTAAACAATTTCGAGTTGTTGATTGTGACTATTTGGACTGAAAAGTTCAGTATTCTCCACAACATCGTTTCACGAATTTGGGAAGTATTTTCAAACTACAGAAACAGCTGTCCTAAGGCTCAGTAGTGGTCACCTATAAACAACCATGGTGGTGGATGGATGACCGGATGGACGTAGAGTAGACCACTGGACAACTGATATAGCGTTTTACCTTGGTCAGGAGGATGCCCAATTGCGTCTATTTGCAGGACAAGCAGCACAGTATGTTCCATTAACATTTGCTCACATCAGAGACAGCATTTTCTATGGTGAAGAAAACCCAAGCACACACTAGGCAGATTAGCAGTGGGATCCAATACTTTTTATGGACGAGAGCAGATTCAGTCTCTTTGCAATTCCGGATCAATACGCATCTGCAGAGAGCACAATAACTCTACTACCTCCAAACTAGTTCCTTTCAATGATGTTAGTAAAGTCTTAGTTTGGGAAGGTATGCTTGGTACCCATAATGTGACCTCCATGTCTTCCAAGAAGTTGCAATCAGTAGTGTCTGCGATTGTATATGGAATTTCTTCTTTCTCGAGGGACTATGGGTCCTCAATGGATTACAGTGCTACACTTCAGCATACAATGGCTGTCGAAGAGTTGTTGGAGAACGAATATATTCAATGCATGCATTGATTAAAAAGGTTCTCGGTTTTAAATTCAATCGAAAATGTGTTGATGCTACAGACACAGAAAAAAGTTTTTTGGTTCTTGGTTAATTAGGAAAGATTTTACATTGAAATATACCTAGAATGTCCATTGGTGTCGTTTCAACCCCAAGGTTATAAATAGTTAATAGTTGTATCGTTATAAATAGAGCTGTCGTCCAGCAAAATGTAGTTCACTAAGTAGATACTATCAGTAAAATAAACTTCTGGAAGTAATATCGCACATTTATTTGACCTTTAATTCAATGTTTTTAGGTTCACAGCGGAAATGAGTCAGTTATATTAAAATCGTTGTGTCTAAGTGTTTCGTTACATAGCATTTGCCTATCTGCTCATATAAACATTTCATTCGATTTTCGAACCTTGTGCAGAGCAGATACCCTGAAACGATGACTCATAGGGAATGTCTACACCCTGATGAAATTGCTAATTTGTTGCGACAGCTTTCTGAGAGGGAGAATCGGCTCTAATTTAGATTCCGATGAAGACATAAGATTGAGTGAAAGTGACTGCGAAGAATCTGAAGAAAGTGCAGATGTAATTGATAATATTACAGTAACTCCTGATATATATGTCGCGCAAGGGATGGCACAGAATGAATACCGCATGATATTAATGTTCTTGGCAAATTTGCTACTCGAAATGTTTTGCGACAAAGCAGTGGTCCAACATGCTTCGTGCAACATAACGTCATCGTCAATTTTTTATGATATAAAGGGTAATAATGTATGGTAATTACATGAAATAATATTATTAAGTCTTAAAACTAAACCCTACTGAACAGTAGTGCTGCGATTATTTAGTTATTGCAATTATTTTATATCGCTGTGTATGTCGAAATGACACTGGTGGACGTTTAAGGGTAATCGAAATTCCTGACGTTCTAGTGTTGAAGGCCTCACAATACTTAATGAACACCAACCTCAAAATTAACCCTTTTGATTCTTGAAAAATTTTCATGTTTTATCAACCAAAAAGATAAAATATGGGTCAGTTCAATGAAAAAAAAGAAAAAATCCCTGAAATAAATACGGTTACTAGCTAATTCTTTTTTTGAGTCGCAGACATTAATTGATTATAAACCTCTTGTTTTAATACGATCCAACACTTGTACAAGACATCGTTACTAAATATAGTGCACATCTAAACTGGTTTCAGTGTTTTCTTTAAATACTTCGAATGGGCGATCCAGTTAATACAGGTGTCAGTCGAAAAAGAAAAAATGGAATAAAAGAACTAGTGTCCAGCTATTCTAAAAGTAAGCAGTAAAGCGGGAAAGATAGATTCAGTTATTGAGGCCACGGATAGAGAAAGGATGGTGGTAAAAAAAAAAAATTCTAAATAAATGGTGGCGTGGGACTTCCTTCAAAAGGGGAATCCGGAAGTGATGAGATCAACCCCATTTTTTTTCAAACCACTTTCACTAACCCACTTCGGAGCCAGTTTTCTTTTGTTTTCAGCATGGCGTTCTAAAACTAGTCTCGTTTCTGTGCTGTATTCCATGCTTCAATTGGCTTCCAAAGCGACCGATACATCGCAGTCACGTGAGAAATTGAAAGTTCAGAAACGAAAACGAGAAGACGACGAAGAAGAGAAAGTTGGAATGGCAACCCATTCTTCTGACCTTTGAAGAATTTTTCTTTTTTTCCCCTCGACTTTCATCCGCCATTTTTCTTTTCTGTCGTGCGCTTTACAATTTTATTTTTACACGTTCGCATTGCAACACTCAGAAGTGTCCAGGAAAAATAATTCTCTGTCATTTCCGAAAATAGATATGAATCTCCGTTGGTTATTATTATTTTTTCCTTTCCTTTGTGATGTCATATGGTTGAGTTTGCATTGTGCTATAAATTGATGTTTTTAACCTATTATAAGGGATCTATGATTTTAACCTCAAAGGTCTAACAACTCTATAACTTACAAAACAACTCAAATGATTTATTTCTTAACAGGTTTAACAGCTGTATTTGTTTGAGTAGGGTATAACCAGCATTAATAAGCACTTAACTATATCTAGATCGTGGATGAACAACTCATATAGCTTATTGTAATAGCATTGTATTTCATATCTGAATTATTCCATGCCTTTTTTCAATTCCTACTATTAGTTCACACTATCCCTATATATATATCTTGTTCAAATTTTAAATCTTTAATAAAGTACTTTCTATTTATCCGTTCAAGTTCAAATACAATTTTTTAACCTTGTAGCGGATGGCATTTGATGTTAATACAGTTTTATCAAATATTAATTCTTTAATTCTATTTATTTGATGAATAAATAGTGTAACGAACAAAAATAATAGCCCAACACCATATATAAAAAGGAAAATCACTCGTTGTGTCCCTCGCAATGGACAGCGCTTTAAAATTCTAATCTAAATGGCGTGGGTTCGAATCCCACCTGGGATGGCCTAATTTCTGAGAATGTGATTCCTTTTTTACTATACTATTTTATTAGAATAATTAAATTTAATTAATGAATAAATAGTAACAAACAAACAAAAAAATAGTCCAACACCCTATATAGAAAGGAAAATGGAAAATTGCAAGGAAAATCGCTTTCTATTTTGCCACTTAAAAGTGTGATTCTGTCCTATGTATATACATATTTATATTAATTGTAACTATGTAATAAAAAGTAACTATAAAATAAAATGTTTCTTTGTTGACCTAAGTGGGAATTGACTTAAATTTATATATATATATATATATATATTACTTGTTATAATGTTCTAATTCTGATTTAACTGTTTAATATGCGTTTTATAATAGCATTTTAATAAGATTAAATAGAATTCAGAGGACTCGAAACACTTTTTAAGAGCGAAAAATTTTCCAAATTAAAATAATATGCTCTGAATTCGCTGTCCTGTAAGAAAAATATGAACCATTTCTAATGTTCTTATATCTCTTAGACATTTTTAATAACAAAACATATACATCATCATTATTCATTTTCTTACTGCGGTATCAAACAGACTTTTCATATATTTTAAAAGAAAAAATGCATATTCCTGTAATTTAATAAAGGCTTTTTTTTAATAAATTAATGTACCCGTCATAAATTTACGAGTTTATATGAAAATTGGAGCGTTTTTCTGTCTGAAATTTTGAGTTCCAAATTCAGTTCAGGTTCTTTGGCATAGGTGAAACCAAATCTTACAAGAAAATATGCTTTTTCTGAGCATTCATGTTTTTTAATTTAATTAATTTTAATTCAGTTTTTTTCATGTTTTAAAAGTTGAATTTATATATTCAAAAAGAGCATCATTTTAATAGAATTCTCTAATGCTTGGTTCCGTCAAAATTTAGTTCTGCCATAATTCTGAGAAAAAAAAATGAATTTCTTAAATTTTAATAAGGACTAGCCGTTACCCATCCGTTTTGCTAGGTATTTCTTTATTTTGTATGACTATGCATTGTTCCATGTTAATCATAGTTATATGCTAGTATTAAGCTTTCGAGTGTTTTGAAAAACACATTCTTATAGCTTTCCCGTCTTAATTTAAAAACAAGAAACATTTTTTAAAAAAATTTAAGTCAATTCCTACTTAAATCAGCAAAGAAAATTTTTATTTTAGTTACTTTTTATTAAATAGTTATAATTCATATAAATGTATACATACATAGGACAGAATCACAATATTAAGTGGCAAAATAGAAATCGATTTCCCTTGCAATATGTGGTGTTGGACTATTATTTTGTTTCTATTTATTCATTCATAAACCACATTCTCAGAAAGTAAGCCATTCCAGGTAAGATTCGAATCCATGACCTTTGGATTAGAAGTCCAACGCGCTATCCATTGCACTACCGGGATTCAACGAGCAGTTTTCCTTTTTATATAGGGTGTTGACCTTATTATTTTTGTTTGTTACTATTTATTCATTAATTAAATTTAACTAATAAATTAATATTTGAAAAAACTGTATTAATATCAAGTGTTATCCACTACAAGTTTAAAAAAATGTATTTAAACTTGAATGATTGGATAGAAAGTATTTTATTAACAGTTGAAAATTTGTACAAGATTTATATATAGAGAGAGAGAGATTGTGATATATATATAATAGTAGGAATTGTGAAAAGAATAGAGGACTTGAGTTTCTAAGTCGGAGAATTATGTATTTATCTTTTATACCTTCATGACTCCCCCTTGGGAGTTTATTTCCGCAAAATAGGTTTTACAGACTTTTATTTTATATAACAAAATAAATATTCCCGCCAAATTTAAAGTCTCTAATATTTTCGGAGGTCTCGTGAGAAGCGAATCACTTTTCTCCTATACATTTATAGATAGACATGCATAAACAAAAATTCTCTTATTTTCTCTCTCTCTCTCTGTTGTACACTGTCATATTTTTCTCTCTTTTAGTAGTGTGTAGATTTTAGAGGTGCTTGTGTACTTGGTAACAGATATCGCCATTTTATGTTCTAATTCATGTTTCAGTTTATCTTTATTACTATATACACATACTTGTAATGAAAAAAAAAAGTTTAGTAACAAGACAATAAAGTGATCGGCAAATAGTTCATATTTTTTGTTTTCTTTTTGAGTAAAATACCGACCTGTGAGAACAAAGATTGAGGTGTTTTTAATGTATTTTTATTGTATATTTGTATGTCATAGTATCATAAAATTTACGACATTTCGCTTAACTGTGTGCTTCCATTTTGAAAACGTGTCGCGTGATTTTCTTTAGAAGCATTGAAAACATACGGAATATATTCCTGAAATTGTGGAGAATTATATTTTTCAATCAGTATTAAATTCTTGTATGGTTAAAATCTTCGCTTAAATCAGAGAGAGATGCGTTTTATAATAAATCAGTTATAATTCATATTTTCATTTAAAAATGTCAGTATTTTAAATAAACCATTAGTTTTTCCCTTTTTTAAGTAACTATTTTTCCATTTTTCTTTATATGTTTAAAATAGTCTTGAGAATAGCAAACTATTTGCTAAAATATTTGTACTTACTGTATGAAAGCGTAATATTTGTACTGAGCATATGACGTATACTGCTATACACGTCACATGTTTAAATGATACTTTGATATTTACTCATAGATAAATCTAGAGAACTTCATGCATTAGGGATGACAAATATTCCGAACAAAACGTCATCCACATAATCATCATTGCTCTGTTTGATTTTAAATGCTTGAATAAGTGGTCATATGGGAAAATCCGACTGTTTATTCTTTTTAAAGAGATTTTGTTGCTTTTATCAACACTTCAAATGTATCAGAAGTTATCTTTAAGCGTCTCATAATTGAAGTGAAAGTAATAGTGCAAATAGATAAGAAAAGTGAATGAGCATCTTTAAAAATAATTTTCCTAAAATGACTTTTTTCCATTTTCTTTTTAAATTTTGAATAGTTAAAAAGGAAATTCATGTTCAGGTTTCTTTCTCACTACTCGGTAGCTGTTCAAAGTTAAAATATTCGCTGCCTGTAGCTCTGACGAGAAAGTGAGAGTTATATTAACGTCGCATATAAAGCAACAAAAGGCTTACTGATGACCTCGTAATTTTGAATCATGGTCAAATGATGAGGATGATACCTAAGCTGGCATCCCTCTCTCCGAACTCCTGCACCTCGTAAAAGAGAGACCTTTGATCCTTGACAGATTTAACGCGTAATAGCCCCTCAGCACGGTAGATCTTCAGCAGCTCTAGGCTCGAACTCATGATACGCCGGCCACGAGTTCCTGACCATAACCCAGCGTTTCTCAAACTGTGAGGCACGCCCCGCTAGGTGGGCATGGTAACCCAACAAGGGGTCGCGAGCATATCGAAAAATAAAAAATAAAACATTAGTTAAAAATATTATTAATTTACTGAATTAAACAAAACAAAATGCATTCTGACATAATGAAAATAAAATACACATTTACACTGACATAATATGTTTTTAAATGTATCAGTACTGCACACTGTATTTGATAATTAATTTAACAATGCCAAGTTAAGAACAAGTTTAACAATTACCAGTGACCCCATGGGCTTGTCATATATAAAATTATATAAAAAATCTAATACTTATCTTGATAATTTGTGCAATTTGTAAAATACATCGTTATTGTGTGGATGGGGGAGGAGGGGATGACGAAAATTATGAATGAAAATTGTGTCGCAAGTATTGAAAGTTTGAGATGACTGCCTTAACCACTAGGCTATCGTGACCACCTGAATTAATAAAGATAATAATAAAGAATAATGGGAAGATAATAATAAAGAAAGATTAATGGGAAGATAATACTTGTAATAAAGAAAGATTAATGTGAAGATAATAATAAAAAAATATTAGATACAGCTCAACTTATCTTTTATATTAACTCTTTTCCGTTTTTATATAAGTAAATCAAATTTAATAATTTTTAAGTCAGACACAAAAAATACAATAATCCCCCCCCCTCCAGATATATGTATTAATGTCTGAAGAATAAATTTTAATTATCAATTTTACGATGAACGGTACAATTTTTGCAACTATTACCAGAAAAACAAATTCAAATCCGATATCCTGTGAAACATTTAAGAACAATAATAAATTTAATTAATTCCATCAAAACATCTCATAAACTTTTATATGGCAACGATGTTTTTCTCAGTCATATTATATAAGCTTCTTCGAATCATAATACAGGTAAAGAAGAAAATAAAACGTGAATTTTTTGATGTCATGCGCGCATTTCTAAGTATTTTGCAAGAATTTCGCAATCGACAGTCTGTTATGCGAAAAATGATATCTGAATTTTGTAGCATGTCTGCACGTGAGCATTACGTCACGAGGTCTCTCCTCTTAACAGGACAACACGTGTATTTACTCGGAAAAAGATACAAATTCGAAAGTGATTGCACTCACTTCGAATTTGGAATGCAAATGATGTATTATTCATGTGTTTAAAAGTTAATTGGTTGTAATAGTTTTACAGATTTCTAAAAACATGAGGAAAAAGTTATTGGGATGAAATGATAGTAACTTAACGTCATTTTTATAGTGTTTAATATAAAAAAAAACTAAACACAGTGGCGCAACACCCCAAAGCCTACTGTGCCCGTCTCAGTTTACGCGACGTTGGGCCCTGAGGTGCATGAGCATATGTTCCGATCAGGTTGGTCAGTCTGAAGCAAAACCCCCAGTGTTGAGTTCTCAAGCAAGTTGGATACTCATTTATCGACCCACTGCAGTAGGGATGTAAGGCTGAATCGACTAGGCTGAACCTGGGAATAGAACCCAGACCTGTGGTGTGGAAACGTGATACGCTACCACTCAGCCACTCTGGGCTTCAGTTTTTAATATACAAAGATGAACAATTCCGTTTTACAGAAGGTAGGGTTAATAACCTTTGTGATACTGTAAATTCTTCACTATTCAGTCAATTTACAGGAGTTATTCTTTGA